AGGACCTCATCCCTGACCCGGAGAAGGCATTCTACCCTTTTCTGAATCAACAAATACGAATAAAGGTATTCAACAAAATGTAATAGCCCATAAAAATGTGTATCATCATTATTAATGAATCTTTAATATCTGATTGACTCGGTAAATAGGTACTTTGGGTATGCCAGAGAACCGACACTTATAATAATTTGACGTAGAAGCAAAATGTAGTTTATAAAAATCTATTTATTACTTTATTTCTGCGACTGATCATGCCAGATAAAAGGTTATAAATAATTATTTAAGGTAATATCAACTGAGACAATAAACTGATGAAAGATGATCTAAGGTGTTATTAAGTCTAATTAAGTGTCTTAGAGAAGAATGAGATGTCTGGTTTATAAAGTAACTGGCTCAATTTATTGATGTTTAATCAGTTATCAAATTAATAATTAGCCTTGCAACGCCAGTGAGTGCAGAGCTACGGTACCCGTGGGGCGAGGGTTCTCGGCGATCCGGGGGACCAGTGAAGTGGGTTCGGCCAGGCTGTTGGGCAGGTTAAAACCAATAAGGGTTGTTTGATGTTGAAAACGGTCTTCTACGCCACTAAAGGTGTTCTTTTGTGGGATCTGGTGGACCTCACAAGAGGTGCTCATTCAGCGTCTTGGCAGGAACTGAAGTTTCAGTTTCGTGTGACTGTTGTTTTAGGGTCCATGTTGGACTAATCAGAAGCCAGAAAATGTTGTGGGTGTTGCCAAAGTCCTCAGACTGTTTCCAATAACTCAAAAAGGTTTATTTCACTTAAATGAGCAGGACCAGCATTGTTATGGTGGATTGTCGGATGGCAAGATCAGAAACAGCACGTGTTTTGGACTGGAAAGCACAGCGTTCTGGGCAGATGAAGCTGTGGACGGTGTACTGTTCTGGTGATCTCTCACATGCAAGCCTGTCCTACTCTACAACTCACCCATCTGGACTCACGACGGGGAAGGCTGTTGTTGGTTTAGCATCCAAGAAACAGCAGAGAACATCTCAGCTAGTACAAGCTAACTGTTAGCATTAGCAACTCCACCACACAGCAGAGCTCCTCTAGGCTTGTGTCATTGGTGGTGGTAAAACATCAACGTTGCAGACCAGAGTCAGTGGTAGAGTCGTGTTGCTGTTAGCCAATCAGAGGCAAGATGTCCATTTATCAGGAAGTAGGTCCCCAAATCTTGTCTTCTGAAGCAACTTCCTTCTGCAGCTAAATCGTTTGTGTTATTTAATTTAATTTTTACCAACATTCTTTGCTTTAATCTCCTGCTGTTGTTTGTTTTTATGTGTATTGTTCTATTTTTGGCTATTGAATGGGTCCGTGATGTTTTCTATTCATGTACAGTATTTTGGCTCACCAACCTCCAAATAAAGATGATGATAAAACAAGTGCACCTGAGCTGTTTTATCCCCCGAGTACGACTCACAGGGCATCCATTCCTATTAGAGACCACTGCAGGTGTATTAAAATATGAGTGAAGGACATCTTTAGGATGAAAATGCATTTTTTAAATTCCTTGACATTCATTTAGAAAATCTGCTGTCATGTTCCAATAATCCATCTTCTTCCACTTACCTGGGGTCGGGTCACGGGGGCAGCAGCCTAAGCAGGGAGGCCCAGGCTTCCCTCTCCCCAGCCACTTGGGCCAGCTCCTCCGGGGGAATTCCAAGGCGTTCCCTGGCCAGCCGGGAGACATAGTCCCTCCACCGTGTCCTGGGTCTACCTTTAGGCCTCCTCCCGGTTGGACGTGCCCAGAAAACATCCAGGATGCCCGAGCCACTTCAGCTGACTCCTCTCAATATGGAGAAGCGACGGATTTTAGAAGTGTAAAAATGCACATACATATCAAATGTACATATCCTCAAAATGAATCTTTAATATTTGTCTTCATCAAGCGTTAAAGGGACATAACAAAACACTTGCCTTCAAAAATACCCAGCCTGGAGATGTTTGTTCTTGTAATGTGTGATTGCATTTCCACAGAATGGACAGATTACTGAAGATTAGAGCATGTGAGGGTTCAGCCCTGCCTCCCGCTGGCTGCAGCCTAAACCGTTCATCCCATCTAGTGATCACTAGTGGTGTTCCAACAGCTCAGACACCCGTAAACCCCTCAGTCTGAAAACAAGACGACTGTGTAGACATCACCCGGTTAGGCCTTCTATAAGGTTGTTGGTAAGTTGCTTTTGTTACCCTCGACACCTTTTTACAGAAGGCCCTTTGGCATGTGCCCCCACTACCTTCCAGAGGTTAGTCAACATTGTGATGACTGGTGTGGAAGATTGTAGTGCATACCTAGATGATGTAGCTGTGTATACCAGCTGGCCTGATCATCTGAGCACCCTGTGTAGGTTTGGCTCAGGACAACCTGATGTGAAACACGTGAAGTGTGAATATGTTAGAGCAGTAGTCCACAATAGGCAGCCCGCGGGCCCCCTCTTGGTGGCCCCCAAACCCCGTGTGCACCAAACAGTTTGCCAGCAAACATTTAGAATCCTTCAGTTATGTGTTCAGAAATGGTCCAAGACTGCAGTTACATGGAAAACCAGCAGAAACCCGTAGAAACAGGGCGAACCTTTGAATCGTTTCTTTTTTCCTTGAGAATGTAGCTCGCTTGTAGGGTAAGGGTTAGGCGTGTTTGTGGTTTAGAACAATAAGCATGTCCAGGTGTCACCTGTAGTCCATCCAGATACAAGCCAGGGCCCCCCAGCTGGAACGGGGTTGGGTGTTTTTAGCAGATGGAAGGATGGATCCAAGCGCCGAGCAAACAGCCCGTTAAAAACAACAATCCTGCAGAATGAGCAGGCTGCTGCAGTCCCTCACCTGCAGAGGTACGTCATGACCAGAGACGTGGTATTATAGTGTGCTGAACTTATATTTGTATCCATCAGCCGGGGTACTTCATGATGGCCCTGGCCACATACACACTCAAGCAGCACACCTTAATCATGCACCCATGCTGTGAGCCAGCCCAGTGATTTGTCAGGCCTTTGCAGCACGAACACTCACGTTCCATCCATCACGCTAAGTGAAAGGTGGACAAAGCACGTGTTAAAGATGTGAGTTCTGAGATGACATTAAGGTCTCTCAGTTGGAAAAACAACCTTTTTCTGCATGTCTCACCACCTTGTAGTGCCGCTCCACTGACTGCAGGCCATCATGTTCTTACCAGAGCGGTTTGTCAGCATGGCTCAGTGAGGAACGTTAATAATGTT